GTTTGAAAATGAGTATGTTTTCTAATGTAAAAACATACTTTGGAATGCTATAAGATTCTGCCTGTAATTCTGTTATCTCTCAACTGAGTAAATAATATTGATAGAATGTTACTTAAACTCTAATCATACTTTTAAACAAATCCATATTTTGCTAAATATGATATTATCTATATGCTATCTATATCTACTTGAAGAGTGGAAATTAGTCTAACGTAGATTTTCCCAAACTATGGTCCATGAACCAAATCTGTCCAGCTGTTTTTGTGGCCCACTAGCTAAGAATAGTTTTTACATTTTTAAATGTTGGGAAAAAAGACAAACAATAGGCATACTGAATATATGTATTTTGAAAAGCTTAAAATATTTACTCTCTGGCCTCTTACAGGAAAAGTTTATCAACTTGCAGTTTCAAGCAGTTGTTCACAACCAGGGATGATTTTTGCCTCCAGAGGATATTTAGCAATGTGTTGAGATATTTTTGATTGCCACAACTTGTGTGTGTGCGTGTGTGTCTGCATGTGCGTGTGTGCATGCACATACATGCTAGTGTCAGTCAGTAGGTAGAAGCTAGAGATGCTGCTGAACATGTACAGAAAGACCCTCCCACAACAAAGAATCATCTGAGCGAAAATGTTCACAAGTACTCTCCTTGATCACGCTTTATTTAGGCTCCTCTGAGCCCTCTTCTCAACTCAGCCTTGACTCTGGCCCCCATCCTTTCTTTACTCTGTCTAACCAAGTTTTAACAAGAATCCTGCTAAATCAGTTTAGTGAGAATCCTTCCATGTTGATAGCTGATCACCGTTGGTATAAGATCAAATTCTTCATCCCCCAACATTAATATCTGATCACCCTGGCCTGCCTTCAGCAAGAATCCTGTTTGGTCAGTTTATCAAGAATCCCCCTATCCTCAATGTCTCCTCTCAGTAATATTCCATCCACTGACTCCCTCTCTCTGCTCACTGGCTGTAATTTCCATCTATCTTTTTTGTATTCAGAGTTGAGCCCTTGATCTCTCTGATCTATTGTGGTAATCTTGATACCTGTTTCGGTAGTCCTGAATAAAATCTTTCTTACTGTTTTAACACTTGTCAGAATAATCTTTTCTTTAAGAATGTCATCAGTGCAGAGATTGAGGAACTCTGGGCTAAAGTAATGTTTGGTACCTGTATGAATTCAAGGACTACCTCTACAAATGATCGCAGCAACTTCCTTCCCGTCTGGGGTTCCAGTTTTAGGGAAGGGGAACTGACCAACACAAACATGTACTAGAGAACAGTTGTCTCAAGGCCTTGGAAGAGGCGAGTTGTAAGGATATTTTACCCCAAGATCTCCAGGGTAGGGGAGGGTGGTTTGGATAGGGATAGCTGTGTTGTGTTTGGCCCTAACTCTATTCCCTGGGTATCCATAAAAATGAAACAAGGTTGATTTTCTGTCTAGGGGGATTTCATCATCAACCTTCCTTCTTTCTTATTGTTTTTCTCCCTGTTGGTATCTTCATTAAAAGATGAAGCCTTGCAGTCTTCATTTTAAGGTAAAATACAGAAAGACAAATATGTGAGCTTGTTAAAACAGATTTAAACAGTTATTAAGCAACAATAGAAGTGATTATATCTACCCTGTTTCTTATTTAGAGGTGTGGTTGAAGAGAATAAGAGAGTACATGGGGTCTGAGTATGTGTGTCTTCATTTTAAGCTAAAAATTAGGGAGGTTGGAGATCTTTATTTGTGGGTGATAGGCAAGAGAAAGCTAAAGACAAAGGAAAAATTTCAGAGCTGTGACTTGACTCACACTTCTTATATATCTGAGTCCCAGAGCCTCTTTTTTTTGCCTACTTGTTTCCTAAGAATTGAAGCCCTGAAGCCTATGCCATTATGGGGCTTTGAAATTAACTAATGCTTTCTTCTCTGGGCTAAAAACTAGATCCTGTGCCCTACCTATTGGTCTTAATTTCTCTATCTTATTTTTACGTGAAGCCAGATCTGCCCAGTACAAGTTCAGCTTGGTTAACTGAACCACTGTACTTGATGATTCCAGTTGCTCTGTATCTTGAACTTTCCTTGACCATGTTATTCTTGACCAGATTGTGAAATATGATTTCGTAAAGTAAGCATAGTTACACACTGGCCACAAAGTCCTTGTGCATGCCAGTTGAACTTAGATCTGCATGCCTATATTAGTTTGTTCTCATGTTGCTAATAAAGATACCTGTTACTGGGTAATTTGGAAAGGAAAAAGATTTAATTAACTTACAGTTCAGCATGGTTGGGAAGGCCTCAGAAAACTTACAATCATGGTGGAAGGGGAAGCAAAAACATCCTTCTTCACATTATGGCAGGAAGGAGAAATGCAAAAGGGGGAAAAACCTTTTATAAAACCACCTGATCTCATGAGAACTCACTCACTATCATGAGAATAGCATGAGGTTAACCTAAGATTAAATTACCTTTCACCAGGTCCCTCCAATGACATGTGGAGATTATGGGAACTATAATTCAAGATAAGATTTGGATGGCAACAGAGCCAAATCATATTCCCCTCCATTCTCTACATAGATTCTACTTTTTTTCCTCATTTTCTTTTGGAAGTGTTTAATTTTAATAATTAGAAGTTATTAGAGCTACTAATTTATAGGTCTTTGATTGTTTTCAGGTAGAATATTTGCATAGAGATATTATGGCCACTGTCAGGCCTTTATTAGAGACTGTTTTGATGACTTGTAATTGACAACATAGGAAATGTTCAGAGGAAATGGGAAAATTTTAAAATTTAGGCAGAGAAAGGAAGGAGATTGTACTTAGTAGAATAGGGGACTTTATGGTCACTCTTTAATTTTCTAGGCCTGAGCAGGACCATTTAGGTGTCCTAGCAACTCAATAAAAGAAGGCAACTATCTGTTAAGTAACGAAGTACAATCTATTAATTTATATTTGTTATTAAGTTCATAGCTAAAGAGAATTATCTTTTTTATTCTTGGATTGTATTGAGATCAGCCATTCTCAAAACCAAAACAACAACAACAAAACTGACTTTGGACAGCCTGCCTGGATTTGAATCCTGACTCTGACCCGTGTCACTTGGGGAAAGTTACTTATCTTTTCCCTGCCTCAGTTTTCTCAGTGATAAATTGAGAAAAATAATAGTATGCATATCTCATAGTGTTGTTGTGAGGACTATATTTGTTTATATGTCAAGTAATTTAAGCAGTGCAGGCCACATTGTAACTGCTATTGAAGCCTAAGTTATTATTAATAGTATTCATTGTGGTCTTAGAGTTAAGGCCCTAATCTAGCCAAAGATATTTTTAGATCATTCCAGGAAATATGTTCAGATATTTCCAGGAAAAAAAATCTTGAATAAAAAACCCTAATTCTTAAATCAGAAAGATAAATAAAATTGTTGGAGGTGTTAAATTATACATTTTTCAGATAGGTTGCTCACCATGGACACACTAGCATATGCTTTTATGTTTAAAGTATTTTTAGCTGACAAAAATTGCCGATGCACTGAAAAGTCCTGCTGTGTTGGTTAAAATGGCATTCGTTTAAATTCAAGTTCCACTGTACAAATATTGATTTGCTAAAGAGCATAGGAGTGAAGCTCCCTGTGGGATTTCAATTGGGCATAGATAACAAAATATACAGTTTGAATTTTGGTGATATCAGCAGTAGAAAAGGCAATATAAACACCCACATTTAGGTTATTTTATAAAATAAACTTACCATATATAGAGGAGGCAATTTTCCATCATTTCGTTAGGTAGCCATGAGTTCAGAAGATTGGGCATTTTAAATAAACATACTTATACTAGTTAGGTGTATGGAAACAGATGTACAGAAATCTCAAATGAAATTTGCTTTCCTAAAATAGCAACAGAAATTCCTAAAACTCTATCTTCACATTTATCTTCAAAATGACCTGTATTTTGTAATGTGTGTTTATAATCAAGTGCACCTGTGTGTGTTCATATATAAGAGAAAGTAATTGTGGTAGAAAACAAAGTTAGGAAAGAGATTATGGATTTTTTTTATTTTTTAAATAAAAATATAGCTTCTTTCTCTAAAAATATTTTTCTTTAAACACAGCAGAAAATCTGAACAGCATTCTGGCAGTTGATTTTTTTTAAAGGATGAAACATGCTTCATTGATCCTTGATATGGTTATTTCTGTGGCTAGTTTTCTACATGAGGGGGAACCATTTGATTAATTACCATTAACTGTGACATATCCTGCAGGTAGTGAAATTTTTTGTGTGTATTTATTTTCTTCTTTTTTTGAATAAATTAGTAGCTTTGTAAACAGGTTCCAGTAAAATTGTGTGCTGGAACACTTAGTGGAAAATAAATGCATTTTCTATAAAAGCATAGGATGGCAGTGTTGTCAAGTACTTAGGTGGTACTCAGAGATGTGGTAGCCTGCCACTATCTGTAGGATCTGAGTCTCTAAATTGTCTTTTGTGGGAGGCTTGTGTTAGGTCCTCGTAGTACCTGTACATCATTAGAGCTTTACTGTGTTGCCAGTAATACTAGTGTGCTTATGAAGCCAATCCAAGATTAAATTGCTTTGATTTTGGTAACCCCTACTTTTGGCTGTCTGGTCACTCAGGGCGTCGTTGTTGCTGTTTATTAGATTAATGCTTCCTATAAATTGGGGTAAAAATATAACTTGATGTGCTTTTGCACACTTTTTTTTTACTTGATTTTTTAAAATGCTATACGTGGCTGGGCACAGAGGCTCATGCCTGTAATCTCAATATTTTGGGAGGCCGAGGCGGGCGGATCACCTGAGTTCGGGAGTTCGACACCAGCCTGGCCAACATGGTGAAACCCTGTCTCTACTAAAAATACAAAAATAATCTGGGCATGGTGGCAGGCACCTGTGATCTCAACTACTCAGGAGGCTGGGGCAGGAGAGCTACTTGGAAGGTTGAGGTAGGAGAATCACTTGAACCCAGGAGATGGAGGTTACAATGAGCTGTGATTGTGCCATTGCATTCCAGCCTGGGAGAGAAGAGCGAAACTCGATCTAAGGAAGAAGGAGAGAGAGAAAGAAAGAAAAAGAGAAAGAAAGAAAGGAGAGAAAAAGAAAGAAAAGAAAAGAAAGAAAGAAAGCTATACGTTAGGTAGGTGAGTATTAATTGTGATAAAATAAGGTTAAGTGACTTGACCAAGGCCGTTAAATATTATGTGACACAACAGAATCTCAAACCCAGTCCTCTTATTCCTTCAAACCATATTCTTAAAAATACATTGTTGGATTTGATTTGCTAATATTTTGTTGAGGATTTTGCATCTATTTTTATAAGAGTTATTGGTCTATAGTTTTACTTTCTTATAATGTCTTCATCTGCTTTTGGTATTAGGATAATGCTGGACTCACAGAACAAGATAGGAAGAAATTCCTCTGCTTCTATTTTCAGGAAGAGATTGTAGGGAATTGTTATAATTTTCTTCTTCAGTGTTTGGTAGAATTTACCAGTTGAATGTATCTTGGCCTGGTGCTTTCTGTTTTGGAAGTCTACTTTTTATTAATGTAATTTCTTTAATATACATGTAGGCCTCTTAAGATGATCTGCTTCACCTTATATGAGTTTTGATAGATCATGTTTTTCAAGGAATTGGTCCATTTCAGATTATCAAATTTTGGGCATAGAGTTGTTCATAATACTCCTTAATTATTCTTTCAGTGTCTAAGGAATTAGTAGTGATGGTCCAGCATTCATTTGCAATATTAATACTTTATGTTTTCTATGTTTTTTTCTTAGTTAACCTGGCTAAAAGGTTAACATTTTTATTGATATTTTCAAATAATCAGCTGATTTTCTCTATTCATTTTCTATTTTTGATGGCATCAAATTGCATCAATCACATGTTTTTTTGTACATTAGCACAGTTGTACATTTTCCAAGATCCAGCTGGAGAGGATTCTTGTTCCTACTGATAAAAATGATATACAGTGGGCTTCTAATGGTAAAGAAGGGTGGAAAGTGAAAAAGGAATTAAGCATTGGATGCTGAGTTATTCTTGCATTCTTTGGTTAACTTTGTTCATTTTCAAAATAGATTTGAAGCTGACAATAAAACACAAAAATACAATTGAACTATCATTACAAGGATCAAATTATGTGTTAAAATGGAGAAAACAGTTGTATTAGAAGGCTAGTTCTATCAAGTATTAGTAATTCTCCTGGTCTAAGAAAGCAACTGGATAGGATATCATTTTAAATTAAGATTTCTGATAAGTGCTGTAATTTAATATAATTGATTGAAAGCAAGCTGATACTATATAAGGAAAGTTAAAGAAGTTATGTTAAGTATTATTACCCCAATGGTGGATTATTTCACTGTTGCACAGAGATGGGCTGCAGTTACATCTGTAGGCAGGTTGCTTACTTACCATATAGATTTGTAATATGACATTCACTTTTATTTTCCTGCTATTTATATTCCATCTTTTCCTCCCCCAAAATTGAGATAGTGAATATAAGTGTAAGATAAGAAAGATAAAACTGTCAAGGTGAAAATAAGGGAATATCATAAGCTAAAACCCATGGAAATGCTTTAATAAGGTCTGCCCTTGTTTGTGGTTATGGATCATAAATTCGTATCTAAGCTTTATAGGAACAGCTGGATCAAATAAAAGGAGACACAAATTGAAACCTCACATTGATGTAACAGCAGGTATCTTGAGGGGGCTAAGCTTCACTGAGGCTGAAGTTAGATTCTGAGTTTATATATAATAATTTGTTTGTCCATTCATCTGTTGATGGACATTTGGATTGTTTCTACTTTTTGGTTATTTGTGAATCATGCTGCTATGAACATTCACAAACAAGTATTTGTTTGAGCATCTGTCTTTAGTTCTTTTGGATACATAGCTAGGACTAGAATTGCTGGATTATGTGGTAATTCTATATTTAGCTTTTTGAGGAATTACCAAACTTTTTCACAGTGGTTACAGTGTTTTACATGCCCATCACTGATGTGCAAGTGTTTCTATTTCTTCATATCCTCACCAACACTTGTTATTTTCTATTTTCTTTAATTTAAAAATTTAATTTTTAAATTATGGCTATTGTAGTGGATAAAAAGTGTTATCTCATGGTTTCCATTTGTATTTCTTTGATAATAAAATATATTGTACATTTTTTCATGTATTTTATGTTGGTCATTTGTATATCTACTGTGGGGAAATGCCTATTCAAGGTCCTTTGCTTATTTTTGAATTGAATTGTTGGGCATTTTGTTGTTGAGCTGTCAGAGTTTTAAAAAATATATTCTGGATACTAAACCTTTATTAGAACAACGGGTTCTCAACAAAAACTACAAAGTCTACAAAGAAACACAAAAGTATGGGCCATTCATAGGAAAAATAGATGGAAACCATCTATGAGAAAGTCCAAATATTAGACTTACTTGACAAAGACTTTAAATTGTGTATGCTGAGAGAGTTGAAAGAAACCATGGATAAAGAACTAAAGAGTCCAGGGACAATGGCTCATGCCTGTAATCCCAGCACTTTGGTAGATCAGTATGGGAGGATCTCTTGAGCCCAGGAATTTGAGACCAGTCTGGGCAACATAGGGAGAATCTCTCTCTCCAAAAAAAAAAAAAAAAAATTGGCCAGATGCAGTGGCACATGTCTGTTCTGTAGTCCCAACTACTGGGGAGGATTGCTGAGGTGGAAAGATTGCTTGAGGCAGTGAGCTGGAATTTGCCACTGTGCTCTAGCCTCAGTGATAGAACAAGACTCCGTCTCAAAAAAAAAAAAGAACTAAAGAAAATCAGGAGAACAATGCATGACCAAGTAGGTAATATCAGTAAAAAGATAGAAATTATAAAATAAACCCACATAAAAATTCAGGAAACTTTTAGATAGGGCAACAGGAATCACCCAATCTGAGGAGTAGAAAGTAAAAAGAACAAAGAAAAATGAGCAGAGCCTAAGGGACCTATCAGATACCATCAAACTTAAAACATATGCATTATGGGAATCCTAAAGGAAGAGGAGAAAGAGACAATGTACTAGACATTGAGTACAGAAGGAGAGTTTCATTTGTGGCCATTCAGTTTATTGCAGATGCTCTTGAACAATACACAATTTTGTTTTCAATTCATAGCATGCAAGGACAACTAAAAACATTCTACTGGGTGCAGACCAGAGAGTGCTAGAGAGGTATCATTTCTCTGTCTTCATGCAGCCCTTACATGGTTGGTGTTAGCCAGTATTTTCAATACAGGTAAAGAAATTAAATGACTGTTACACTGAAACATCTGGTTTACTACATTAACTTCGTATTCTTCTTCTGAAATTGGAATGGGCTCCGTGCATTTCTCTACATCTGCCCCTTATTTGTCTTTGAGAAAACAAATAAAAGTTACACCAAAATTCTGTAACCAAATTCCAAGTTCAGTTGCTCATCACTTGCAGAGTCCAATGAACAAGAGTGAGATTGAGTATAAAGAAAGTGACTTTTGCCGGGCGTGGTGGCTCACACCTGTAATCCCAGCACTTTGGGAGGCTGAGGCGGGTGGATCACGAGGTCAAGAGATCCAGACCATCCTGGTCAACATGGTGAAACCCCGTCTCTACTAAAAATACAAAAAATTAGCTGGGCATGGTGGTGTGTGCCTATAGTCCCAGCTACTCAGGAGGTTGAGGCAGGAGAATTGCTTGAACCCAGGAGGCGGAGGTTGCGGTGAGCCGAGATCATGCCACTGCACTCCAGCCTGGGTAACAAGAGCGAAACTCCGTCTCAAAAAAAAAAAAGGAAGTGACTTTTTATTCCAGAGCTAGTTTGGGGGAAGAAGTACAGGCCTCAGCATTACGGGTACTGCTCTGCTTTTGGAGCAGAAAGCAGGGGCTTTTAAAGGGTAGACTTGGCATGAATGGCATACAGGGAAGGGAGTGAGCAAGTGAGGGTCTGTATGACTCACTTTTGTACCTTATCTACCAGTGGTTGAGCTGGAGCCATCATGGGCAGAACTAGTTTGTTAAAGTTGTCATTGTCTCAAGATACTCTCCAGGGAGGATGTAGAGAAATAGGAACACTTTTACACTGTTGGTGGGAGTGTAAATTAGTTCAATCTTTGTGGAAGACAGTGTGACGATTCCTCAAGGACCTAGAAATAGGAATTCCATTTGACCCAGCAATCCCATTACTGGGTATATACCCAAAGGACTATACATTTTTCTATTATAAGGACACATGCATGTGTATGTTCTTTGCAGCACTTTACAATAGCAAAGACTTGGAACCAACCCAAATGCCCTTTGATGATAGACTAGACAAGGAAAATGTGGCACATATACACCATGGAATACTATGCAGCCATAAAAAACAGTGAGTTCCTGTCCTTTGTAGGGACATGGATGAACCTGGAAACCATCATTCTCAGCAAACTGACACAAGAACAGAAAACCAAACACCAAATGTTCTCACTCATAGGCAGGTGTTGAACAGTGAGAACACATGGACACAGAGAGGGGAGCATCACACACTGAGGTCTGTTGGGGAGGACTAGGGAAGGGACAGTGAGGGGTAGGGAGTTGGAGAGGGATAACATGGGGAGAAATGCCAGATATAGGTGATGGGGATAGAGGCAGCAAACCACATTGCCATGTATGTGCCTATGCAACAATCCTGCATGTTCTTCACATGTACCCCAGAACCTAAAATGCAATTAAAAATATGTATATAAATATACTCTCCAGGTAGGAAAGAGTTTTGTAGGGGGCATACTTTAGGTTGTAAACTGTCAACTCTCGAGGCAATCTCCTGGTGGTAGAGGTTTCTGGCTCTGGAGCTTCCAAGCACATAGTTAGATAAGCTTGTTCTGTAGGAAGTATCTGGTGAGGAGAAGGTAGAGAGTCTAATTTCCTTTCTAAAGAGCTGAGTAGGAAGTAAGAAATGGGAGAAAGGAGGAAAGAGAAAAGAAAAAAAAAATTTTTAAATAATCTCATTCTCTTTCTCTTAAAAGCAGGGATACTTGGTTACAATCTCACAAATGGAAAAATGCTAAATTCTTCCAGCCTGCTTATTCCTTTCAAGATAAGCAAGTTTATTCACTTCATTACTTAGTTCATTACTTCTCCCCAAGTGTATTAGGACATACTAGGTTTC